TCCCCATAATAAGGAATATAGTAGATTGGGGTCTTTATTGGGGTTCCCCTATTTTGGGAAAGACCCATATACCCATCTTACTCATTATGGTAAAACCCTAAACCCTAAACCCTAAACCCAAAACCCAAAACCCAAAACCCTAAACCCAAAACCCAAAACCCTAAACCCTAAACCCTAAACCCTAAACCCTTCCTTAACAGCAACCCAAGGTGTGGGTGTCCTGCGGGTCTTGCGCTTGGTGAGGATCCTACGGCTCCCTATCCTGGGATTTGGGGGGTTTCCCACAATTAGGGCTACCTTTAAAGGCTTATATGAGCTATAGTCTAAACTCCTTAAAGGGGGTTATATAGGGTATGATATAGGGGACTACTATAAGGGGATATTAAGGGGGATACTAGGAGTTTAGACGGCTCATATAGGGGTTATACAAGGGTTCTATAGGGGTTATATAGGGTTTGAGGGTTTAGGGATCAGGGTTATCATTGGATCCTCGCCTACACCCACGCTGTCTCCCTGCTGAAACATGGCCTAGACAGCCCCTGATGAGCAAGCCCTAATTTGGCTTCGTTTTGCACTCATTTAGGGTAGGAGCGTAGAGGGAGTGGAGTGGGTAGTAAAGGATACCCCAAAATCTTAGACATCACGGATGACTTTCTGGAGTTGATAACCGCCGGCTCGATGAACGTTGTTGCTCCTGCTATAAGTGTCGCACAAAATGAGTGGAAACGACGCAGCATAGGAATCTTATTCTTATGTTCAACCCCACCGAAATTTGGGTATGCCTCGGTTAAAAGCTCTACATCCTGAGCCCCGCAGTCTAAGCTGCCTTGTATGCCCTATAAGCCCAAACAAACCAACCAAGGGCCAGGTAGGGGCCCAAATTAGAGGCCGATGCTTAGGACCGTAGATTTATCAAAAAACGCTCCCCAAACCGTAAACCCTCAGCAGTAAACCTCAAACCCGCAAGCCAACCGAAAGATGAGGCTTCTGAAGATCCTGCGCAAGGTCAAGGCGTTGTGCAGGGTGTTGATTGAGGTAGAGGACTTACTGTCACAGCTTTTACGATTTAGCATGGCTCAGTCTTCCCGTGGGGTGGGGGGGTAGGGGGTTGTTAGGGTTGAAAAGCTAGGTCTTGGGGCTTAGGAGTGTCAGATTTGGCATATCTAGGGCTGGGCCTAGGTGGTTGTTTGATTAGGAGTTCATGAGCCCCGGAGTCCGCATCATCAAAAACCCATCTTCCGCCCTTCAGGTAACCCCAATCAGTACAGAAAAATTGCAAATGGGCAGCAGCCGACATTCACTGGAAGTTCCTTGAAAGTAGTGTCTACTATCCGTCCTTCATACTCCGTCGAACCAGCTAGTATGATAATTTCTACCAAGGTTGCAGGGACCTTGGAGTTTAGGGTGCTGCTGAGTGATGCCAGGCGGTAGGAGTGCGTCAAGCGAAGCATGAAAGACAAGCCCGAGGGTGGACGGAGAAAAAAACCTTGCACCAGCTAGGATTCCCAATGCGATGTGATTCCTAGAGTCTAGGGTTTAGGCTGGGATAATGGAAAAGAAAATGGAAACTACAGGGATCAGACAGGGGTTATATTGTGGGCTTTTATATTTGAGGTTACATTGGGGTTATTGGGAAAATGAAAAGAAAACTGAAATTCCTGTCTAGGTTTAGGGTCTAGGTCTAGGGTTCAGGGTTCCGGGTTTAGGGCATATGAAGTGATGCAAGATGCCTTCCATCCACTGTAGTTAGGCTTCTTCCTCAGGACTACTCATCTAGGCCCTGGGTGATCTAGCAAACCTTTTGCGTCACAGGGGCATGAACATTACTGAAGGGAAGAGCCTGCGGATTCCAGGAAACATATGGTGGGTTCAGGATTTAGGGTTTAGGGATATTATCCCGAACAACGGAGAAGAACACTTGAAAAGACCATGGAAAAGACCTTGGAAAAGTAAATGGACACTTGGAGTATAGGAGGGGTTACAGGGTTCAGGGTGTCCCAAAACTATAGTACGGCATCTCTTGATGTGGCCAGCCAGATCCAAGCCCTAAACCCTAAGCGTCTTGACCTAACCTCTAGGTACACCCCATATGCTTAGGAATTCCGCGTGCGAGCCCTCATATCCCTTAAATCCCCAAACCCTGAATTCCCTTGAATCGCTTAAATCCCGAAGCCCTTAAAAATCCCTTAAAGCCCTCAAATCCCTTAACCCTTACATCCATAACCCCTTAAATCCCTAAACCCTTAAATCCCTAAACCCTTAAATCCCCAAACCCTTAGATTTTTTATACATTTCAAGTAAACCGTGTGATCCCTGTAGTTTCTTATCCTTGGACCCTACACCTGGATGGTGTGCTGTGTTCAGGGTTTTGGGGTTTAGGGATTTTAGGGTTTAAGGTTTAGGGATTTTTGATGTAAGGGTTTAGGGCTTAGGGTTCAGGGTAATGCTGAGCACTGGTGTGGAGCCCTAGTAATCCGTGTCTTGGCCTGCAAAGCGGTCCTGTTCCTGGCATCAAAGAAACCAGATGCAAAAAGGGTTCAGAGTTTGGGGTATGATGCTTGCGCCGTGTATTAAGAACTGGAGGCTACCTGGCTATGAAATAGAAATTGTCTGCTCGCATTCAGGCTCTCCGGGAGCTCCAGAAGTTAGTGAAGATGTTGAACACGTGCCTGACGCGCAGCTGTGAAGCGTACCTTGAGTGTTGGGCTGGTATGTCCACTAGGTGAGACTGTACTACAACTTTCAGCACTCCTATATTTCATATGAAAGGAGCTAAAAGTTAATCTCTTCGAGGGGGGACTAAACACTTATCAAGTTTAAGTTGAAGCCTCATTGGGCTTCATAAGGTGCCTAAGGATTTTGTTACGATTTTATTCACTGGTGATTGTATACGAGTATTTAAGATTCCTTAGGAACATTGGTGAGCATATGTGTGGTCTACATCAGAGGAGACCATAGTACTTCAATCCTGCCCCGCACCCCCCGGAGTGTTTTTGGGGCTCAGGTCGATTCTGTGTCAATACTTGGGCCGAGGGACTTTTGTTAAGGGTGAAAGGATTCCGTTTTTGGTAATCCAGTGCAGTTCTTCATAGGGTTTTTCTCTCATGAGGACCCATACCCATTAATTTTATAGGGGGTCTTGACTCCATCCTTGGCATTTCGTGGGGGATCAGGAGCCACATGGTGCTAAGGAAGGAAGGAACCCTGACTACCTGCCAAGCCTGGTCATATTCCAATTCGTCACTGTGCGGTTTAGGTTTTTTTGGTTTAGGGCCTCCGTCAATTAGTATGGAGCACCCAGAAGGGCCTTTTAAAGATACCTGTGCTTTCAAGGGTGGGTTGGATGGGGTTCCATGCTACCACGACGGATAGTAGCCAAGGAAGGCCTTGTTCTGGTCCTTCTGCTTCTGCTTCTTGGTCATGACAGTGCCTCGGTCGTTCCTGAATGAAGTTTTGTGTTTCTCGGCTTGCTAGGGCCTCCCATCCAGCTGTGCTACCGCATCAAAACGGTAGCTTCTCGGGTTAAGATCATACGCTGGGGGGTCTAAGAAGTTAGGTTTAGAACAAAAATTCTGCAAGCAATGCGCGCAAATGTTTATTAGATTCATTGGGAGAGGGCAGAGGGCCCCCAAAGCCTAATGCCCAAATCCCAAAATGCATATATCCCTACATATGCCTACATCCGTTATGACCCTTCAAATCCTAAACCCTATGCAATGAATAAAACCCCCGAACCCTGACCTTAATCCTAGACCCTATCGAAGCTCGACCTCAGGTGTGGGCAATGCTGATGGTTGAGGTCGTCAACCCTACAGTTCAAGAGATGCTGCCACTCGCGGCATGGAAAACCAACCTTTTTGTTAGCCTGAACAAGGTATGTTATGTGCTTTGTTTAGCATTTACTTAGTGTTCGGGCCCTAAACCGTAAACCCCTCTGGTTTGGTCATAGAAATCAAAATGGAGGCTGTCGCATTTTGGGGGTTTCGGGTTCAGGAATGACCAGGGATGATATGTTCGGGCTGAAGGATTAGTGTGTTGGTTTGTAGGGTGTGGAAGGGGCCATGGTCCTGGGGCTGTAGTGTCTCGAAATGCCTAGGTCCAGGGTTTAAGGAATGATGTTCAGGATTTAGGTTTTACTAGTTGAATTAGCGCAAGTTTCATACCTTCCAGGTATCGGTTTCCATTTTTGATCTGCATAAGGGGATTGGAGTATGGGTTCTGCAATACCCTCTTCTTTGTCCTCGTGCGATGGCGCAATAGGCGTCAAGCGCAGTTTGGGATTGTCTGTCTCAGGTATCCAAAAAAGCCTAGCTGCAACGGGGTGTCCTACAGTATGTTATAGACGCGCTTGTAGATGACACGGATGTTTCTTGATATGCCTGCCCATGTTTCAGTTTCTCTTTTGGTTGAAGCCTCAAACCCTAAACCCTAAATCCTAAACCCTAAGCCTCAAACCCTAAACCCTAAATCCTAAACCCTAAGAATCATATTTTAACTCCTAAGCCCTAAGCCATTTTGCGCATCCTCAAAGCCTAAACCTCCTGAGAGCTGCTCAGGTCAGAAGACCTCTTTGGGGAGTGTATCTACTGCCAGACACTTGGAACAATTCAGGTGAGCCATAGTCTAGACTCCTGTAAGGGGGGGGGTTTATATAGGGGTTTCTATACAAGGGTATTATAAGAGTGATTAAGGAGGATACGACGAGTTTAGACTATAGCTCATTTGCTCTCTGATTGTTGACATGAAAGGAAGGGTTTCAGGTTCAGGGTCTAGGGTTCGACTTGAATGGGGAAGGTCAGCTGTCATCAGGGTACCGATAACAGAAGGGTTCCACTTGTTCTGAAATGCGTAGAAGTTGCTTGATGAGAAGTCTCCACGTGGCGTTTTCCCAAGAACTGAGGGTCACCATGTAGGGCCCACGTGGTGGAAATCGGGGATCTTCAGGTTTTGGACCTTTAGTTGGCTGTCCGAATTTTGAGAAACTTGTATCTGAAGCCGAGGACCGCGACAACTTCTGTGATGAATGCCAACCTCTTGCTCTTCAAGACGGCAACACGGACATTCTTCAGCAAAGTGTGGTCTTTCGAAACACCTGAAAAACGTATGCGACATGGTTCAAGCCTGCGTGAAGAGGGCTTATCCCAATAAAACTGACAGGCATGAGGCCCTTGCTGAGTATGGCCAATAAGTATTCAAAGCAGCGTGCACAACCTTAAAACCCCACGCAAAAAAGATATGGCTAGTGTAAAGCTTATGTTTGCACTCCGACTTTGCGCTTGCCTGACAACCGCTACAAGAGACCCATCTACATCACCCTATATACATGAACATATATGCATTTATTTGCACATATACATAAAACATATGAAATATATCTATGTATATATATATATATATATATTTCCTTTTTATATTCCCCTGTATGTATATCCACGCTTATAGCCCTTTATATAACCACCGTGCAAATCCAAAGTCACTGCTTTACCCTGTACCTTCAATCCTAAACCCTAAGCACTCAACCCTGAGCCCATCCAAAGGATTAAGGGTTTAACCCTGCAGAGCCCGGATGCAAAGGGTTAAAGCATTCAACCCTAAGCCCATCCAAGGTGATTGCTGGGGATGGTTGGGGCGAGCTAGCTGTTCCAGTGATCCTGGCGGCGCCTGAGACGTCTGTGGTGTTCATAGGCAGCAGGGCGGGGACTCAGGGTGTTGGGAATTCCTCAGGTCTTCCATATGAGCTTTAGTCTACACTCCTGAAAGCCGGGTATGCTGGGAGCATCTAAGAGTTCATAGATTCATAGACTATGGCTCATATGTACTCCTTAACTGGGATCCCAGGAATCGCTTTGTAATGCTTGCAGCAGGGTTAGGGTCGTGATGCAGGTGTGGTGTTCATCTGGGGAGGTTACAGATCAAAATCCCGCTATATATCCCCGGAGCCCACACAGGGAAGCACTTTGCTCATGGTGTCCAGGGTTTTGTGCAAGTGTCTTGTAGCGCCTCGATTTCGTAGAGCGTTTGGACACGGGTAGAGGGTCACACCGTGCCTGGACGGGATTTTGGGGAATGAGGGTCAGATAGCAGGTCATGTCAGCGTAAGGTTTAGGGCTAGCCGGCTTTCAGTTCTTCAGGATGGTTGGGGCTCCAGGGTTGAGCTCTTACAGCGATTTTTTTTGTTTTCGGGATCGGTTTGTTGTAATGGGATCTCTAAAATTGGCGGGGCTTCATCGTACAGGTTTGTCCTCTTACCCGGTGCATAGACGTTTGGCTGGCTCAGGAGTATGGAGGGGGGCATGACCCCCTGCCCTCACCCTGCTGATAACAAGTATGCTCCCAAATCTATCATGATATTAGAGCTATATGCTCTTAGGTTGCTTTTTTTGAGGATCTTCATTATTCTTCAGGGGGTGAGTTGGCGGAGTTGTGTTTGTTTGTGGGAGGGGATTACGTTCGCTTTTTGGCGCCTTGTGTCTGGTAGGAGCCTTTCTGACGATTGTCTTCGGTGTGCTCAACCTCATAGCCTCTTGGATCAATTTTGGTTCCACACCGGGATGCGATCAAATGAAAACTTTCAGCGTGGTATTCATTATCGGGCTTGCATGTAATACAAGTTGAAAGCTAAATCTTGTGGGCTCCCCTCCAAGAAGTTCGGGCTTAATCAGCCTAAAAACATCCGTTCATCACTAAACAAAATTGGCTGAACCCAGGGGTGTAATACAGGGGAGTGCTTAGGAGAGCAGAAGAATCTAGCCATGATCCAGACTCTACGTGTGAGGCGGTCAGCTGCCACATTTTGAGAAGCCGTGATCGTTCTTTTCCTCAGTAGCTGGATAGGTACGTTGAACACTTTCTGGGTTCCTCTAATTCTTTACGACATCCCCTCCTTGTATAGCAGTCTGGCAAAGCGGCGGTTCAAGAGGAGGGAAGAGTTGGGATCAGTTTGCTACACCATTCACTGTTGCGGCTCGTCCTCCTGCAGTGAGAAAGGAGGTCATGCTGCATTCGGGGTACAAACAGGTCATGGGGACATCCTGATGAAGCCCTAAACCTAAAGCCGAAACCCTAAACTCTAAACCCTAAACAGCTCTAAACATCAAGCCAAAGGTTCTTCAGATCTTCCTAACTCGATTTTTTGAGAAGTGTGACCAGTCTCTTTGCCCAATGTTGAGGTTGCAGTGGTAGTTGATCAGTTCGCAGAAGCTCGGGAGCGTGATGTGCTCAACTTGGCAGAAGAGCAGCTTGGCAAAGAATCCTTAGTTCCTGAAGGCTTTGGGGCACCTGGTGACCTAGTGGGAGACGAGGGTTCGGCACTGGAATAATGAGACCCGTTCTGGCCAAAGCCTGGTCTCTACCTTTCGGAAAGTTGGATGTGGGGAGGTCTAGTATAGAATGCATGACCACAACCCTCAATTTTCTCCTCATCCGAAACTGCATCCAGGCTCGACTATGACATGAGGACAGACAGGAAACTTGGAGCAAATCTACAGTTCTGTTTAGCGTTGAGGGTTTAGATGGGTTTAGGTTTAGGGATTCGTTAGAATTTATTTGAGTTCAGGGTGCTGGCCCAGCCCACTAGCAGCCGGTAGTACCCATACATCTCGTATGTACGGGATGTGATACTTTCCCACAGCAAAGCTGCAGAGTAGCCTCCTCGATTAGCCAAACTCCAGAACCTAAGCGCTCAACCCAAGGATCCCCTCACAGAAGACTTGAAGCCCGAAATACTTAGCTCTAGGCGCCCAAACCCTAAACCTTAGATCGCGTGTCTGCCTAGGATCCGTTTAAAGAAGATGTTTGACCGCATCGACAAGGATGGTGAGGGCCAGCTCTCCTTGGAGTGACGGGGCATGAGATGAGGTTGTACTTTTTAAGGTCAAGAATTGTTTGCTACTATTACCTCTATTGATAACTGTTCGTATTCTGTCAAAAAAACCTACATTAGTTTGGGGTTTTGGGTGTAAGGGTTTTGTAGATTGTTGCACGTAGGGTTTATGCATCCTGAGATTACTGACAGGGGGGTTGGCTCTAGGGTTTGTGTGTAGGTGCACTCCCTGCTTGCAATTCATGACCTGGACGTCGGGGGTTGTTAAATATGTGGTCCCATTTTGGGTACCCTGTATATCAGGGGCCATAGTATACCTGGCACCCAAAACGAGACCATCATCTTACAAACGCGTTTGGGGATTTGTTCTAGAGTTTGAGTTTAAGGCTTGGGCTTGCTATCCTTTATGTAGATCAAGCTCTTTGTGAAGGCTGGGGGGACAAGCCCAAGTCACAACCAAGTTATTTCCTCTAGTCTCTCATTAAATATTTTTTTGAAGATCACACGTCTCTCAGTACATAGTTATTGTGAAGGATCACATTAGTGTGTTGTAATCTGCTTACCTAGTTCAAAGGATCTTTCCTGGAATTCTGAGTTGGGGTATTTACAACCCTACCTACAGCTACCTTTGGTGCCCCCACAGACTAACATTGGCTGGTAGGACGTCCAAGCCTAAATCCTAAGAGGAATTAAGCCTCAGGGGTCCGCTCTCCTCTACAGCGCCTCATGAAGCGCCTCCAGGCAGTTGATCCGGGGAGCCCGCAATGATGCCGAACTGCACAGTCGCCTCAAGGTCATGGACATTGACGAAGGCCGCTTAAGTACGCCAAGAAGAGGTGTCGCTGCTTCTAGTTGTAGCTATCCTACTTTCGCCACAGTTATACAGACCGATGAACCTGCCAGTACGGTGGGCGCAGCAATGATTAACTACTGCGCTGGAGTTTCTCAAAATCGGAGGCGGCCCCGACACCATTATTCGGCGTTACATATGGACCCATATGGATTATGAGGGTCCTGCCCCGCACCCTAAACTTTAATAAAGCGCTACCTGCCTTCTCAATCATTTCACATGCGCTGAAACTTACAAAGTTTCTAACAACTACCCCCCCCAAGCCTCAATGATCAGACTTTGTAGGCGATCTGAATGAACTCTTCCACATGATCGATGTGGATGGTTCCGGCACCATTGAGCTGGAGGAGTTCATTCGGCCCCTCAGCAGGTGGGTGCACGAGCCTCGCTTCTTTGATTAGTTGATTAGTGGTTGAATGTGTGTGGGACGAGCCTGAGGAGGAGGAGTTCTGTGGCAGCAACTGTAGTTGTAGCGGTAGTGGAAGTGGCAGTGGTGGCGGTAGAGGTAGTGGTAGTGGTAGTGAGTAGTGGTAGACAGCCGCTGCGCCAAGTATCGACTGCCCCCAAACAATCACCAATATTGAGCACGCTACTCCTGAAGTTTGCAAATCGTGAGTCCTCAGCCCTAGTCCTTGCATCAAGCCCCTTGGAGGGTCAGGGGGACTCACTCTCTCTCTCTCTCTATATATAAATATTTACGTTATAGAATACCACCTTACGAAGCCCTGACCGTAAAGCTGGCCCTGCGGGCTTCCCTAGCAAATCTGGCGGGGGCGCCCTCGCAGCGTCAACATAAGAGCTTAGGATTTAGGCTTGCTGGGGATCCTTCACCTCTTTTCGGGTATGGCTTTCTGTTCTGATTGACATACAGTTGACCTTCCGAGAAGGATCCCGTTTCTTCCGGTAGCCCTAAACCTTAAACCCTAAACCTTAAGCTACCCTAAACAGTAGGGACCGCTAACCTCCCAGGACTCCAAGACTGCTCCAAGATTTATCAAGCGCCTGGGTTACATGTGGTTTGAGTTCAAGTAAGAGGGCACATAGGGGTGTGTAAGATAGGGTGTAGGGTTGAGGGTTAAGGGTTGGGGTGATGGAGGCACAGATAGGTTTGAGGGTGCATAGAGGGTGAGGATTTTCGGGTAGTTCGAAAAATAAGAGAATGGAAAACGATACGGAAACTGGGGGGGGTTGAACAGGGATGTCTGGGGATTCGTTAATAAGAGGTTTTGGCTACCCAAACCCCCCTTATAGGGAGGAGACTAATAAAAATCATGCTGCTAAAATCAGGTCCTAGTTTTGAAGGGTTTAGGATCACCAAAGGCCTTTTCTCAGCCGGGTTGTAAGGGCTTAGGAGTATGAGGCTTTCTTAGTGCAAGAGAAGACCTTTTCAGGGTTTAGGGTTTAGGGTTGAAGATTCCTGTGGATGAATCTTCAGGAGGCAGGATGGGAAAGAACGCAAAGCCCAGGTCTTTGGTGACATGTGGCAGTGGCCCCGTTTTGTAAGTATTAATCCTCATAGCCCACCACACAACCCCAGTATTTTATTTTCCATGTGATTTGCCATTATCGGGGTACCATACCCTGAACCCGAAGCCCTAAATCCTAAACCCTTAAACCCCAAACTCTATACCCGAAAACCCTGAACCCCTAAAATCTATACAGGAATGTCAAGGGATTCATTGTAGCCGAGGCCCCACGTCCTGCACGGATCTTGATTGCTTGGAGGTGTGTAAGTATACCTTTAAGGAAGGAAGTACCTTTAGGTTTAGGAAGATCCTGGACAAGCTTCAGACCTAAGAGAATGGTCAAAGAGTTTCATCATTTCGGACGTTTTCTTTTTTCTCGGAGCAATGTGGCTTCAGGGTATGTCGAGGTTGCAAGGGACTCGGTGCCCCTTTTTCACAAGAGATGAGGCCGAGATTGTCGTTTATAGTAAGGTGGCCTTTCTGAGGCCCTAAGAAAAGATGGCACCTGAGTTTCTCGAAGAAAAAAGGGATAGACTTGCTTGATATCCTTACCCCCCCAATCCTTTTTGTAGCGGACCTCCAAGAGAGGACCCCCCAGTGTTTGGAGGCTCTGAATCTTATATCTCCTTATAGAACTCCTTCAAAGACCCCCAGTTCTTTGAAACCCCAAAGAATGCTCAGGTACAACCTCCTCCGCACAATGCATCAGCAGGAGGAGCTTCAGAAGCAACTGGGACTTCATGTTCCCAAACAGGAATCCCACAAGAATGACTGGCCCTACCACAGCATGAGCCTTTAACAAGGATTACTTGAGGCTTGCTGCCACTCCTTAAATCCTAGACCCTGAACGTTTACACATCTAGTAAGGATGCAATCCTTTCATGATTTCAGGTGGGATCCTTGCACTAAGTCGGGATAGGCCAAAGTTTTCACCCGGTTTCCTTTTCCATCAATACAAAGCTGGGAACACTCAGTTTCATAACATGTATATTTGTCGTAGTTTTTGGAAGGACTTTTAGCCTTCAAAGGTGGCTGCGCTAGATGCCGTACCCACGTGGGGTTTGGAACCTCAAAGAGGCATCAACGTTTATGGCCGTTTAGGGCTTTTGGACGCTTAGGGCTTAAGGCCTAACATCCCGCAGCTCAACCATCTCGCATCGTTTTTCCTATTCATGAAGCTCTGACCCCTTGCTGAAGCCGAAAACCTATACTCTAAACTGTTGGCTTCACATGCTAAGCTCCGCAAAATGCTGCTGTTCTGCGGGGCAGGCCTTAACAAGAGGATTGTTGGCAACTACATCCCAAAAATTAGAACCTTATTGCTACCATGTGACTTATCTGATGATCTATGTTACAGGGTGTAGTTACAAACTAGTATTAAATCGGCCCGAATCCTTGACCTTTAAGCCAGCCGCATGTGCAAGAGCTAGGTATGTGGAAATCAGCGTGGTGAATATGACTTCAAAGCTTGCCTCTTGGCCGCATGGGTACTTCCAAAACTGCAAGGGGGATGGAGCCCTTTCTTCTTTTCCAGCACCGAGGACTTTTCGAGAGCCGTTCATACTTAGACACTACCCTAGGTATTTGACTATGGCGGAGAAAATTCTGTTGGACATTATGCGCTTCGTCGTGACTCACTCTTTTATTAATTTGATCACGCATGAGGAAGTGGGTTTTGGGCATTGAGACTACCAAGACGACTTGTATAGGAGAGCCGTTCCTGCATTTCCTACCCTGAACCCGACACCCCATTGCGTCGGGATCTATCTCCACTCCCACCTGAACACGGTTTAGGGTGTAGGGTTCAAGTCATCTGAGGACTATCTTTCAACAGACCTGAAGAAGCTCACGCCGCCTGGCCTTGCACTTTCAGCTGCTGTCTTGTCGTCTTCCGTTCGGCACCAATGTACGCCTACAATAGTGCATTGCTATTATGGAGCCCAACACACGTTACTGCAGCCAGGAAATCACATGGTTTGTTGTGCTTCCGGATTATGGTGGTTTCATTGAAGGTCTTGAACAACAGCCCAGAACATGTGTACGCAACTCGAGTTGAGAAGCTAGAACCACTTCAGCAGGTTCAGAGCCTGAGCAGAAAGAGCAACTTGTGGAACACAGATGCTCCTGGCATCGATGCAGTTGGCTGACGTTATCCTTGGTGTCCTGAATCCTAAGCCCTAAGCCCTAAGCCCAAAACCCTTAACCCGGAGCCCGAAACCCTAAACAGAGCCGCGCAACAAGCATGTTTTGTCAACTTATCCTTTGAAGAAGCTATTCCTGAGCCCAAATTCATATTTGTAGCTAAGAAGGGCTCATGGACGAAGATGGCACCCAGGTATTCCCTGCGAGGCCACACCACAACCTCCTCTTGTTGGCCACAAATCCAGCCAATTAATCCAATAAGTGGCAGTTCCCCAAAACATGGGGCCCAACAAGCATCCTGCCCGTGCCAGACTCTCTTTGACATGTAAGTTTGGAGGCTCGCTTCACTTAGTAAGTCCACTTACTAATACGGGATTCAAATAGGCCTATTTGAGGATAGTAGGTAGACTGACTAAGTCAGAAGTTCTTCCAAAACCACTACCAGATGGCCCCTGTGTCTTCAGAAAACTCACCCAAGTTGACTTGAGTTGGACCAGAGCCTTCAAGAAGACCCACAACCCTAAAGAAAAGATAAGGCAGAGGCCAAGCTAGGTAATATCCCGAGGGTGTAAGACGGATGAGTGTTTAGGTTATAATCGTTATCATCCTTGTTGCTTTCATCCCTAACGCATGACAGTACGTAGTGCCTTGCAGTATGTCTACATGGTACTTTCCAAAAATAGGGGGACCCCAATATAGAACCCCAAAATACTTTCGTCCTTATGATAGGGAACCCCCAAAAAGGTACCC